AATAATCTAATTTAAAAGATTTTAATAAGATTATAACAAAGTCTATAGAAGCCCCTGAATCCTGATTCTAAGAATTTATGAATTTATTTATAATATTAATGTATATTCCACCACTTGCTTTATCTGATTTATCATTTTTTTTAAATTATTTAACCGTAATATAAATAATAATATTCAATCCTTTACTTTAAAATGAATTAAGCATATTCAAAAACTCTCAAATCTATAATTCAACCTTAAGTCTGGTTTTCCCTTACTTAGCGTTCATCTTTTCATTAAATCAAACGCATCTATTATCGCCTTCACATCCTCGCTAATCAATCGACCTTCTTGTATTAGCCACGCCCCTTCTTCTCTTTTCGCGACTTGAATTTCTTTTTTGCTTGTCGTGTGCACCGCGTGAGAAATGCTTTTCGCTATACCCTGCGCCGGATATGCCCAGACACCAACGGCACCTCCCGAAATTTTCGATATCATGCTCACAGTACCTTTCCCAATACCTTTAGCCACACCTAATGCACCCTCCTTCTTTCCCCCTTTGTAAGGCTGCACAACTAGATCTGCCAATCCGTCAACTATCCCTAAGCCAAAGGCCTTTCCGCCGACAGCCATCCCGCTCTTCCAGCCTGTCACTTTTCCGTAGTCTTTAACTTTACCGCCATAAAGGCCAGGCATTGCACGGATTCCATCTGCCATTGCAAGAGGGACATCCACAAAAGTTCCTTTACCAGTAGCAACAAGCATTTTTCCGGCACTCTTCCCTGAAGCGCGAGCCATTAAGCCAGCTGTATCTGATTTCTTATTATATGTATTTGTAGAATGTATAGAGGAAGAGCAACTGGTGGCACCATTGCCACCTGCCAAGCTTTGAGAATCAGAGATCTCAGAGCTTTGTTTGTTTCGGCTGTCGTTTTCAATTCGGTGGCTTTTGTTTTGAGCCTGTGCTTTCTTGTATTCTTCGTAAGGTTTAGTGAACACTCCTACTTGGGCTTGAACAATGTCTGTCGCCATTCCGAGATAGGCCGAGGCCATGGCAGTTACTGGGTCCCACCGCCGGTTTAGAATTTCTATGTGTTTTGTTTCAAGTCTGAAATATTAGTAAAGAGCGTTTTTCAGTACTGCTTTGCGGATCTTACAATTTTATCTTTTCCTGATCAAGTCTCTTGTTTTTGAGTAATATTTGCACGGCAAATTTGGAGAGCTTGATGTTTTGGTCCTTATGCTTGTATTGCCAAGCTGCAGGCTTATCTGGCAGCAAATCACAACGTAGATCTTCAAGAGGCAAATTGGCGTGAAAAGACCTCACGGCAGTCTTAACGCCATCTTCTGTCTCCATCTTCGATGCTATTTTACCTGCTGCAATTGCAGCTTCTTTTGTTAGACAGAATCTCAAGCCTTCTACAAGGTTTTTGGTATCAAGGGACTTGAATGGCACTGGAGCCGGTCCAGCACCTGCCGCATTTATCATCTCTCCCCAAAATGGTTGACTATGACTAATCAGTGGTATATTCTCTAAGTTTAAACCGTGAGAACCTACTCTCCGAAGAAGGGCACAACCATCGTAGGTCGTCCATTACTCAATCCGCACGCTGTTGTTCCTGCACCACCATGATGTACAACAGCCGAAACATGCTGGAATAGCCATTCATGGGGACAGTCATCAAGATAGAAGATGTCCTCGAAGTCAGCTCCACCCAAATTACTCCAGCCTTTTGAGATAATTGCTCGGACACCAAGAGCATGAACAGCGTCCAACAGAGTACGGGTCAAGGCTTCTGGATTGTCGATAACAATGCTGCCAAAGCCGATATATACAAGTGGTGGTCCTCGCATTCGTAAGAATGCATCAAGCTCTGGTGGTGGGGTATATATCGGTTTATCACGGAAGAAAAATCCGCAGACATCTATTTGGGGAGGCCAATCTATAGGTCTCGGCACGAGTGCAGGAGACCAACAATAGGTGAAGGGAATCTTGAGCGAGGACGCCAGCGTGGGTCCCTCAGAGTACGGTATAGGTTCAAGGTCAATGCTCTCTCGAAAACTGTTTATAAGATCTCCTAGGCTATTCGAAAAATGTTAGTAGTTTTCTTTTGATAATAGCACTTAATGCAAGATGAACCCACCCTTGCCATGTCATCCACTCTACTAGTAAATAAGAAAGATAATTTCCAGTTCCGACATCGACACTGGACGTCTTTATGTTTGCTAGTGGATGCGGAAATGCTGCTGTTGGTGACCATGGCATAGTGAAACAGAGATGCAGTGGAATCCCGAGTGCTTGAGCGCAATGAATGTGTGCAAAGCTTGGAGGATTTGCGATGATAGCGTCAGCTACGAATGGTTCTGCAGATATCATGTCAGGCTTCAAACACGATCTCCAGCATCCTCCTAGCATCTCAGAAATTATAGCTCTCTTTCGCTGGATTTCTCCACCTTTCAGAGTCTCCATGCTCGGAATCAAGCCTGGGTTTTTCACCATAAATGCCATCAACTCAGCCGGATTGCCACCAATTGGATAGAATTCAAGGTTTGCTTGCCGTACGAAGTCCTCAAATTGATCGTGTGTTGCGATTCGCACACGGTGGCCGTGCTTTTGTAGTTCATTGCCGAGGGCAATGAAGGGCTGGACATCGCCCCTACTCCCCACGACTTGGATGACAATATTGAGCTTGACAGCCCATGGGCGATTCTCCTTGGTTTCAGGTAGCTTGGTATCAAACTCAGAGTATGACGGAATATCTAGATACTTTGAAAGTCTCCTTGCAACATTTGAGGTAAGATCGAGGTCGATGCGCCCATCGTCTGTAGTACATTAGCTACCAACATACGCACGAAGAAATGTCGTATGAGGACTTGCCTCGAGCTTTTGCTTTTTGAAAAAAAAGTGAGCTATCTGATAGAGTTGCTTCTCCATACGATGGCGGCGAGTCTGCCTGGTTGTGTTCTTGTTCATGGTGCTTTGAGTCTGCCATGTGTGAATTTCTTGAAATACAACGTAGGAGTGAAGAGAAGAAACAAGATTGAAAATGATTTATTATTATTTGATATTATTTGATAGAGTTTTAATATTGATTAAGTTGACTCTTCCTCTGTTAAGAAGACCCAGATGTTATCTTAGTATCGTTTGGGATTTGGATGGTCAATTTGAGTTTTGCATTGACGTCAAGGATCAACAGAAACTGACTAACACAAATGCCGTGAAAAGCTGGGCTTATGGTTTTGCTAAGAAGGGCTATTTGCCGGTCTACGGAGGTCTAGCATGTGAGTTTTGCTATTTTGCTACACAATCTGTTTTTCGGCAGGGATGAACTTACAGAGCGGGATGGTGTAGCATCACTCGGGACCTGCACTAGTCTGTGCGCAAGCGAATACGCGTGTTTGGAGCATCGCCCCGCACCCTTCAAAGCTCTGATAATAAGTGTCTACTAACTTGAACGAGCGTGGGAAGTCCGCGTATCAAAACGTCGGATGCAGATTCATCAGCAAAGAAAACGAGTATTCAACTCTGGAGCTAAGACAACCAGCTTATTAGTCGTCTTATAGTTTACCATATTATGGTACGTACATCTAGCTTCGGAGTTCCATACTCTCTGGCCGCACGAGTTATATCTATGAATTTCTGATGCGTGGAATAATTCAGTTGGTGAAGTACACTTGTGCTTTTAATTCCTTCGGATATCTTAGGTTTATGCACCTTACAAAGTCTGTCCAACCCATTGCAATCCTTAGAATATATAATTCATTTCGAATCATTAAAAAGGTGGGACTGTTAGGATGTAAACCGAAGGAAATGCCGATACTATACCAGCCCTATACATATTTTGAAGCACCGTTCATGAATGGTGGGTGGCTCGGTGGGTGATTAATCGAAAAAAGTACTAATGGTTGATGCGCGAACATCAATTCTTGAAGAGATATTACGAATCAATAAATTGAGACTAAGAATTAATGAAATGAGGTCAAAAGAAATAGAGTTATTTTATAAAGTAAAAGCTTTTTAATGACATTATTTTCATGTCAATTGTTGAGAACTACCTAATTTATTACTATTATAGACTCTAACACTAAAATATTCCAAAAGAAAAAAAAGCTTATACTTTACTTAATATGATCTTAAGAGAAAATATCTAAGAAAAGTTAGAAGATAAATAACCATCAGCTCCGTTTTCTTTTATTCTAGGAGTAGTTTTTCTCGATCTCTAGACAGGGTAATAATAATTTGTAAATTAGATCTATGAAGAGTTATAGTAGAGGCTTAAAAACATATAATACAACGATCTTATTCTAAACGTTACAAAAATGGCTGCGTAAATACGAAGAATACGATAAACACGCTTATACTCACTCAGCCTCAGTTGTTACTTACCTAGTACAAAAATACGCTAGTGTACCTACATATGCATTTTGTATACATTCATTAGTATACTTTATCCTTGAGATTGAATCAGAAATCATCTACTGCCGACATTACTATATGTACTCTTAAGCACAGTGCTACGTATACGAATAAGTTTAAAGGTAGAAAAAACCAGGATATCCTAGAAAACTCGCATCCTATTCCAGTCCAAAATTACAATATTCCCGCGTATACAGAGAGAGTACACTTCCTTCAAAGGAGATATGTGTACGGACTTGGCATCATCCGCAACCTCTATTATGAAACAACTTTTTGTATGGATTCTTTGAACGAAGAGATGCCCAATTTTAACGGCTATGGTCTATCTACGCATGTATAGATAGGTCTCCTTTTGTTTGGATGAAAGTGGGACCGACTCATTTTAAAGAAAAAGAGATGAACAATGTTAATATGTGCGGTCCAGTTTTGTGTTTCTCGATCTTCTGGTTCGATTAGATCTGTTATGCAAATTGGCGAATGTGCCACTTAGTATCGTTCCGTTGAGGCGGTGTAGTGACTTCTATTGTTATATATACTTCTTAATTCCTTTCTTTTTGTCGTTATCTTACTCATACTTTTCACTCATCACAACGCATCACTCAAGATGTTACCATCTAACCTATCCCAACTCATTGCCCTCACTCTCTCAATCCTCCCAACCCTTACACTCGCTACCAATTCCAATTCTACTCAAACATGCAAAATCACACCTGCAGACGCCTCATGGCCTTCTTCCGCCGATTGGACAGCATTTAACACATCCATTTCCGGAACCCTCATCAAAACTCTCCCGCCAGCTTCATCTTGCTACGCTGGAAACCCATTTAACTCAACTCAAAATTGTTCTTCCGTCCAAACCAACTGGGTTCTCGCTTCTTGGCAAGCTCTTACACCAGAAGGGGTCGATTATCCCATCTATGCCAATAATTCCTGTCTCCCTAGCGATGCACCCGGTTATCAAGCTGGCAAAGGCTGTGAGATAGGCGGTTCTCCGATTTATGTTGTAAATGCCACTACTGAGGATCAAATCGCTACAGCAATGAAATGGGCTACGGATAGAAATATTCGGATCGTGATCAAAGGAACTGGTCACGATCTAAATGGAAGGTCTGACCCCACCATCTTCTGATTTATCTAATCCTACAAGAAAGAAAGTAAAAAGCAAGCAAAAAAGATCTAGAAAGAAACTAGCTAATCAAAAACTAAACTGACAGATCAAGCGGCGCCAACTCCCTCTCGATCTGGACCCACAACTTCCTTAAACGAGAATTTAATTCTTCTTGGCCCGCCCCCGGCTCTAACTCTACAGCCGATGTCCTCATCGCCGGGAGTGGAAACAATTTAAAGCTTCTTTACACCGCCGCCCACGAGGCTGGAAAATCAATCGTAGGAGGTGATGCCGAGACTGTCGGCATTGGCGGGTATCTCCAAGGAGGTGGCCACGGTCCCCTCTCAAGCCAATACGGACTCGGCGCCGATCAAATCTACCAAGCTACTGTTGTTACACCCTCGGGCGAGATATTGACTGCGAACGCAGAGCAAAATCCCGATCTTCTGTGGGCCATTCGAGGAGGGGGTCCGGGTACATATGGCGTCGTGACTGAATACGTCTTACAAGCATATCCTGCAGTCTCTTCTGTTTCAGTTGTAAAACTCGAGGTAATTCCTCTCGGTTCCGAAAACGATACTACCACTGCAACAGCAGCTTGGAATTCTCTCGCAATTCTATTCCAAAACTTCCCAGACATAATGGACGCTGGTCTCTCAGGCGAATTGACTGCCGCTACTGGCTCCATAGCGCAAGCCTTTTCCGGTTCAACATCCATACCCCCTGGCGTGTACTTCAAGCAAGTATTCTACGGATTCAACCTCAGTAACAGTGAAATGGCCACTACCATCTCCCCGTTGATTGAGAAAATGAAATACATATCTAATGGATCAATTTCTATTAATTACACAGTCACAGCTGTTTACCCTAGTTATCTTGACTTTTTCTATGGTAATAACCCTGGCAGAGAAGCAGCTGGACAGGTTTCCTTACTATCTACTCATCTACTGGGGCGTGCGCAACTTTCTGATCTCCCAATGGAAACAATAGCTGCATATTTGCAACGCGCGCTAGCATCTCAGAGTGGGGATGGAACTGAAATGATAGTTGGCTTACAAGGAGGGCTTGGTCCAACTCGTGTTCCGGAAAATATGCGTGGCTCATTGAACCCGGTTTGGAGAGATACATATTTGCATGTTATTACACTTGGTGCAACAGTTGATGTTACTTTGACACCTAAGAAATCACTTGCCCAAGCTGCGGAATGGATGCAGCAGAATAAAGAAGCGTTATGGAGAGAATGGGCGCCGGATATGGGTGCTTATATTAATGAGGGGAATCCTTATAACACTGAGTGGAAACATGATTTCTTCGGCACAAGCTACGATCGACTGGCTGGAATTAAGACGAAATATGATCCTACTGGGAGTTTGTATATATTGGCGGGTGTAAGAAGTGATGAGTGGGACTATGATCTTGATACAGGAAAATTGTGTCGCGTTTGAGAAGGACCTGTATCACTGAAGGGAGGAAAAAGGACGTTCTTTTCATGGTTGACATCTTGGAAATGATCTTTAATCGATAGGTTTGACTGTATTACCATTGGCGCTATTTACAAAAGGTGGTGTAAATAGACTAGATAGATTTAAACGAGCATCCCTCTTTTTGAATGAGTATGAACAATACTTTCTTTCTTCAATGAACCATTTAAAATGTTGAACAGATTTCGTAAGGTGAATATATACAATAAAGATAGGGGTAAAGAGTACATTATTCTAACTACTTTCTTCATATGAGGAGGGATTACTAATCTATATACTGTCTTCCATTTACCATACGCACGAAATACACATGTGACGTCTCTTATTCTATAGTGAGATAAAATGTGATATATGATCACATGTTCTGACGTTAATTATCGATTTTCATATCTTTTGGTACAATTGAGGTATAATGGACCGATTTAATTATCGCGTACTGGAAGTCTCTCTCAATGTTAAACTTTCGTTGTTTGAAAGATTGCCAATAGACACAAAGTAGAGTAGTTGACAGACACCAAAGCGACTCTTGGCCAGAGATACTTAGATTGATACTGAGAAAATGAACTTGATCGGTGTACTTTTGTATCATTTTCAATTACCACTTGATATTCGAGGCGGCTTGAAATGTCACTGGAAAGACGATACAGTTGTTAAGAAACCAACAACGATTTCCATGATAGTTAACGAGCAGCCCCGTCACAAGTCCTCACTACGACTGAAAATTTTCTTCCATATAACTGTAACGGGCGTGTCGTACTACGGACAGCTTCGGGCAAAACCATTAATGTTTTTAGTTTTTTTGCAAATTTGAAAAACTTTTCTTGAAAATACAACTGACAGTACTATATGAAGAAAGTTCTAACATAACATTTTAATTTTCATATTTCTATGGAAATTGTTTTTAGAATAAATGAAAAAAAATCGTAGAAATCAAGTTATTATTTATATAATCAAAAATTACTTTTAACAGATCTAATATCACGTTGCCCGGAATAAAGTACACGTAAGAGAAAGCGAGCTAAAAGTATTAGGCGTATTGAGTAATCAAAACGATTAATATAGTTGTCATAACGCTAACTATATAACCTATGGTTGTCTTTATACCTCAAATATAGACTATTAATATACTCTACTTTCTATAAATAGGGCCTTATTCTTTTATAGATCTTTTTATCCTTAAAATATAATATAAATCTTTATTTATATCTTAATAATTTATACTATCTTTATAAAAGTTATTATAACTTTATTTTAATTAAATCCCATCAAAGTTATATACTGATTATATTAATTATATCTATTACTAATCTACTGTATATTCTAGTCATTATTATTTAAAAACTTTAAAAGATTATTTTATAATTATAAAAATATCCCGAAAATAACCAATTAAATATCTATATCTTAAAAGTTATAAAATATTCTTAATATATTATTATTATTAATATTGAAATTTAATTTTTTCAATAATAAATCTATTTTATATTAAAAAATAAAAGAAATAATAATAATTAGATTAAAAATAATTATAAGTTATTAATAAAAAACCTTAGTAACTTTTAGATTATTTTTTTAATTCATATTAAAAGTTACAGAGTGATTAAAATATATTATAAATATTAATATTAATGTTCAATTTCTTATAAAATATATATTCAATCTTTCATTTATTTATAAATAATAACAAAAGAATTAATTAGAAATAAATTAATATTGATTAGAAATAATATTTTATAACTTTGAGATTAATCTTTCGATTTGAATTAAAAGATATTAAGTATTTTTGATGTATTATTAATATTTATATTTATATTCTAATAAAGTAATATTTATATTGTTTTTAAAATAAAGATTTAAAAAACAAAAATTCATTTAGAAATTAATTTAATATTATTTTTAAAAGTTCTTTTATAACTTTTCTTTTAGTTTCTAAATTATAAGTAAAAATTATAAATTTTTTAAATAAAAGTATATATAACAATATCAAAATTAAATTGATTTAATAAAACTTTATATTTGATTTTCAATTTAATTTTAATTAAGAGAAAAGAAATTACTTTATAATCAATTAAATGTTATTTAAAAATAATATTTTATAACTTTAATATTATTCTATTAATTTAAATTAAAAGTTATAAGATATTTAAAATATACTATTAATATTTATATTAAAATCCAATTCTTTTAATGAGTAATTTATTTTATATTCAAGAAAATAAAAGAATATCATTAAAAATGATTTTATATTATTAATAAAAATTACTTTATAACTTTTATATTGTATTTCTAATTTGAATTAAAAGTTATAAAGTATTAGAAATATAATACTAATATTAATATTAAGATTCGATTTCCCATATCAAAATATAAATATAATTATTATCTACCTTTTTTAAAAAAAAGAATCTTATTCAAAATAATTTAATATTATTTATAGATTATATATTATAACTTTATTTTTTATTTTTTATTTTTTATTAAAAGTTGTAAAATATATTACTAATATTTATATTATAATTCAATTTCCTTAATAATTAATTTATTTTATATCAGAAGAATTCAAAGAAAAGAAATTTCGTTAAAAATAATTCAATAATATCTATTAAAACCATTTCATAACTTTTATATTATATTTGTAATCGAAATTATATATTATAAAGTATCTTTGATATATTATTATTATTGATATTAAAATTTAATATTTTTAATAATGAATCTATTTTATATTAAGAAACCAAAAAAATAATTAAATTAAAATAATTATATATTATTAATAGAAAAACCTTTATAACTTTTATTTCATTTTTTTAATTTGAATTAAAAGTTATAAAATATTCTCGATATATTATTATTATTAATATTAAAATTTAATTTTTTTTAATAATAAACCTATCTTATATAAAAATAAAAATAAAATCATTAAATTAAAAATAATTTATAACTTTTATATTATTCTTTTAATTGAAATTAAAAGTTATAATATATTCTTAATATATTATTGATATTAATATTAAAATTCAAATTTTTAAATAATATTATATATTTAATTTCTTATATCAAGATTTTAAAAATATGAAATCTAATTAAAAATAGTTCGTTATTATTTATAAATAGTTTGTTATATGATATTAATAAATATTAATTGATTAAATCAAAAGTTATAAAGTTTTTAAATTAAGATATTTATATTAATATTAATATTAAAATTTTCTAAATAATATTGTAAATTTCATTTCAAAAATAAAATCTTAAAAGAAACAAAATTCAATAAAAAATAATTTAATATTATGTTTAAAAAACATTTAATATCTTTTACATTTTCTTTTTAATTTAAATCAAAAGTTATAAAATAGATAAAGTATATTACAAATATTAATTTTTATCTTCAATATTTATATTTAATATTTTTGATTATAATATATTTTTTTTGAAAATAAGGAATTAAAAAAAAGTCATATATTATTAATAACAAATGCTTTATAACCTTTATAATATTCTTTTAATTTAAATTAAAAGTTATACAGTTTTCGGAATAAAGTATTTCTATTAATATTCAAATTTGATTTTTTATTTTATAATATAAATTCAGCTTTTAATTTAATTTTTATTTCAAAGGAAAGAAATCTAATTTAAAATTATTAAATATTTTATAACTTTGATAACATTTTTTTAATTTTAATTAAAAGTCATTTAATATTTATGATATATTATTAATACTTATATTTAATTTTGATTTTTTATAATATAACTTATAATAAACCGGGTCATATAGGGAACCAGATTACAAAATTCAATTCTCTCTATATAATCTTGTTCTATAAGCTATATATTTATTTAATTCTAATTCTAAGTTATTTAAACTATTTTCTAGTTATTTTTTTCAATTTCCTTTTTTAATTCTTTAATTAAATATTTATATGATTATTCTTATAGCTTTTTCTTTTTAGGTTTTTATTTTATTTCATATATTATTTTTAATATTTTCTTATTACTAAAAACAAATTAATCTTATAATTTAATTCTTTTATTTTTAATTTTTTTTTCGAGTTTTAATTACTTTTTAAATATTAGTGAATTATTTCTGAAATAGAATTATTTTAGTATTTTGAGATTCTATAAATTTAGTTATTTTTTTAATATATTAATAAATTAATAATATAAGAGAATTATTATTTATTAAAATTATATTAAAGATTTAATTTATTTATCTTAATTTTGTTTTATTTATAGTATTAATCAACTCCTATCAGCCCGCCGGATTTTACCCGGATTTTATTAACAACTACTATCAATTCAATCCTTATTATTAAATCAATTATTCAATAATTTGATTTAAAATTTAATTAATATTTTAGAGTATATATTATATTTAATAATAAAAAGTTTTATAATAATATCTTAATTCAATTATTTAATATTTAATATATCAATTATCTGCTGTGATATAAGTTTTTATTCTATTTCTTATACTAACTTCTAATTTTATAAATAAATCATTGTCCAATGTATCCTAAGCTATTTATAATGTACTTTCTAGTTTTTATCTAGTATATTCCAATTTACTTTTATTTTATATAATATCAGAAAACATTTTAAAAATATATACTTTTAGATATCATTAGATATACTTTATAGAATTAAGATTAGGACTACAAGAAGGTTAAAGATTAATTAAAGAAATATTTCTAATTTTAAATTAATCTAGTATTTTAATAGTTTGATATATAAAAGTATTATTCTGTGTAAATTGATATTCTTTGTTCAAGTTTTCTCAAATGAGAACTAATTCTCTATTAAGGATCTCGAAATAAGAATTAATATTATATCTAAATTTCTTACTCTCAAAATCCTTATTCATAATATAAAGCTTATTTCTTTTGATATCATAAAAGCCTTTTTAGATTATAATCTTTATATTCTTATTTATAAAATAGGTTTAAATCATTTCCCGTTTTTATTTCTAC